CTCTTTCTTGACTATCATTTTGAAATAAGGATTTTAATAAATGAGAAGTTTTCATTATGCTTTTCAAATGTTGACTACAGAGGGAAATAGTGTAAAGATACGAATATCAGTGTGAAATATAAAAGACTAAGGACAAAGACAAGAGCAGCTCAATTATTCATAAGAATGGAACTAACTCTTCAAGTATGAATAATGTAGACATATTTTTGTCCCCTGTAAAAAACTCTAATTTAAATTATAAGAACCTCTTGGGGGAAAAAAAAAAAAGCCATTTTCCATCCAAGTCGAAACTGAACTTGTACAGCTTTATGCTTACTTAAATATTTAAAATTTATGACTTGCATGGGACTGGAATAAAGTAAGCCATTAGAGGCCTTTACTAGAAGAAATTGGACTCAACTATACATAGTAAAAATAATCCTGGTGAGAAAAAAAAATCATAAATACAAAGTAGCAATGATTGGGGAGGACACCATAACAAGCAGCTCCTTTTACACTCGCTCAGACCAGAGTATTGATTCATTACAGTATATATGGGAAATTCACTATGTTTAAATTATTTCTCCTGCATTTTTCTGCTCTATACCATTTTTCGGGTATTTTCATTTCATTTTACCTACCTCTTTAGATCCAGGATTGCAGAAATTGTTTGGCATTTTGCTTACCAGTAGCAAATACAGACAGCTAACATTCTCATAAATACAATGAAAGTCATAATAAGATCACGACTTTATGCATACTCCAAACATTCAGCCAAAAAGAATCAAGCTGCAGCACATTTGAAGATAATTTATAGTGAAGCTTCTCCTATGATTTTTTTTTCTCAAATTGAATTTGAAAACCTCAAGGTAAACTTCCATGCTTAAACCAAAAACAGTTGCCATCCATTGCTCCACAATTTTTAGAGACCTCTGAACAGAAGCAGCTGAGTTTCTATTTCCTTTTGACAAAAGTATAAGAACATAATGTTTGTAGTTAGAACTTGCTCTTCATCTTAAGAGACTACAGACTTCCTTTTGAACAAGAATAGTTACAGATTCTGGGATATACGTTAATGTCCTGCCCATACGCTATCTCTGTCAACATATGATGTCCATTTGGAAGGCGATAATACTCAATACGTTCACATTAACGACAAAGGATCAGGGATGGAATATAGAATATGTTACAAATAATAGAAAGTGGTTTTATCAGTATGTTCTAGAAGCATGGGGATATTTAAAGTCTAGCTATATATTTTGCAGGTAAAAATACTGCTTCCTCAAAGCATCTACAATCTTTTGGTGCATATAGATAATCTGAAATCCTGTACCCACAAAATAAAGGCATGAATTAAAAGTTTCTGCAAGATTCTCATACTTCATGCTTTAATAAGCATTAAGCTCTCAGTATAATTCAGATAGAGTTGGTATAATATTTGGGCAAGATTTCTGTGCCTCAAAACTATTTAAGGCATATCTCTGAGGAACATCACTGCGGCTAACTATACTTCGTTTGAAGAAGCAGGAATCCACTCAGAGTTAATTGAATCCATTTGAAAACAGCACCCACAGACAAAAGACACATCCAATATTTTCTCGCCATTGCATATCTACCTGTCTGACTCTCGTATTTCCAGTATACTAGCAAAGGGTTATTTCTAGCAGGAGCAATCATGTAGAATAGTAAGAAGGCCAAAAACCTGACAGCAGTCTCAGCCAGCTCCACTTGCTTTTATTTATTAGATCATTGTTACTAGCCAATACAGGTATCATTTGTTGTTGCCTTTTACATCTATGCTTGCAAAGTTCAACAACCTATTTATACTAAAGGTACCTATTTATATCAAAACGGAGAACTTTTGTCTGATAAAAAGACAGAGATTCATCTGTCAATGAGAGACAGCAAGAAGAGAAGTGACAGCGTGGAAACCTAAACCACAATTTCTAGAGATGAGAGCCATACAGATGTTCTCCCAGTAGTCAAACTGGGTAAAAAAGATGTACAAAAGATTTTACTGTGTTGAATTCCACTGTCTTTCCTCTGCTTTCTTCCTAAAGCTGATACTAAACACCTTCTTTAGAAAAGCTGAAGCTAGTCACCTCTCCCAAAGGGATGCTTGCAAGGTGAGACTTGGCAGCATCTGTAAAGTGAGCACAGCTGCAAAACTGCAGGTCCTCTCCAAGAGCAGAGGTCACAAAAAACGACGGGGAAAAGCCTATTGCCCCAAAGGCACTGCTAATTCTGAACTGGAGAGCGGGCTTTTTTGCTGCTGCTACCTAATAATTTGAAAGAAATTTTAGATAGCTGTTAAAGTCTTGACAGTTATTTAGAGGAAACATGAAGCAGGGATGTCCATTGCACCCACACAGGAACAAACTCCTGATTTTGAGTGTGCTAGCTCCTGACAGAGCAAAACCACCTACGGAAAACTCAGGGACAGGAAGAAAGGGAAGGCCCAGCTGAAACCGAAACCGCGGAGCTAATTTACAAAGGCAAGATGAAATTGCATATGTTGAAATTTGCTTTAACCATTGTAGCGTTGTAATTTAATGCAATTAACTAATTTAATATATATTCAGTGCCTAAATGAGAGATCATGTGTGAAGGCACTACTGATGTAAGAGCCAAGAAACATCGCTAGCCTTAATTTCTCGCTATAGTTACAAAACAGATATAATAGTATTCTTCAGACGTATTAGCTGAATATTAGTTAAAGGGTATACGCTTCTCGTTTGGTGTCATTTAGGAAACATAGCTTTCACATTCAATAATTGGTAGGTACACAAACAGCAGCACTATAAATGATCATGACATAAATGAAACTATGATCTAAACCTTCAAAATGCAAAGACAAAGGTAATAATTTACATACTAATTGGTATTAAGTTAACGTATGCACATACTACACACACATGCACAATTTACACAGCTATACAATAAAAATATTTGATCTGTAAATCCTATTTTTTGCCCTAAAATTTTATTATGCATCTCACCAATGTGGTGGCTATTCTGTATTTCTGGGGAACAAGTCCCTCTAAATATAAAGCACTATGAGATTAACACAAATGTTTACAACATGATATTATTTGGCAACACTGTAATTTCATACAGCGCTGCCCATAAAACACTAAAAATACTTACACAGCATCAAAAATGGGAGCAGCTTCTTTCTGCCAGTTAAGTGCCTTGTTTTTCACAGTCATGTTTGTGAACTTGGACTGTGCGTTCTGCAAGGAAATAAAATATAAGTGGTATCAACAGTTGAGACTAAAGCGATCCAGAGACTTCAGCTATGACCCAATACAGTCCTAACGTAAAAACCGACTGAGCAGTTTCCTTCCCCACCTTCTTAGGAAGCCAAATAATATATATACACTGAAGCAAGGACCAAAAGAGCAAGATGCACTGTTTTTCATTAAAACTATGAATAACCAGAACAGTTTAGAGATTATATGTGCCCAGGCCCAAATGATCTGCACTTGTTACACATAAATACCCATTGTCCTTATTGATCATAACATTTAAAAGTGAATACATGCACCATGTAAAGTGACTAGGGCATCATTTCTCACTGCTTTGCTACCTCAGTCATATTTGTAATTTATCTCTGAAAGTCCCTTGGATTAATGTTCCCATGAACTGCTATCAAATTCTTTTTTCTCAACACATTTTTTCTGCCTCAACTCTGCTTTTGCAAAATACATACTCAAACAGTAAGTGTATAGCTATTGCTTCTTCTTATATACCTTTAGCTCTTCATCAATATAAGGGATTTTTAGGATCTCTGCTGCTGCTGGTCTCAATGAAGGATCCTTATTTAACATACTGAAACATTAAAAACCAAAAATTATAATTGATATTCCAAATTAACTTCAAAATCTGCTAAACAAGAAAATAACATACCTGCACAGCACAGCATTCAGTTTGCTTGGATATCTGTCAGGAAGAGAAGGTGTATCACCTTCTACAATTTTTAACACAACAGACAAAAAATTGTGTCCAGTAAAGGCGTGTTTCATACAGCACATCTCATATAAAATGCATCCCAGAGACCTTGAAGAGTAAAATAATAGAAACATTATAAACAGCATTTTTGAAAGCAGCATTCACAGTGACATTACAGTAAGCAAAATTACAATTGTATGCCCTTTTCTCCTGGGAATAGGATATTTTGTTATCATGCTATCCTTTTCACCGAAAATACTTTTATTCAGGTCACAAATTAGTAACTTTATAAATAGGATAAATCATCATTCTATTTCCGTAAGTGCAGGCACAAACTTAAATTTTTATATATATACATATATCTAAATATAAAAGAATAAAATAAAACCCTATTGCATGAACTAGCTTTTAAGTGGTTACTCACTAAGTTAGGAATGAGATATTTTAATTAGTGGCTGACTGACAAAGTAGTTCAGTAGTTTTTGGACATAAGTTTGTTTAAACTTGTTTTACAAATTAATTTCTGACAAAAAACTGAGGCTAAAATTCAAGTTCAAATTAAATAATGCCAGTTTCAAATAACAGAAGGGTCTTCTGGTGTGATTTCCCTCATTTGGCCACATATTCCAAATAGATTGGTTTGGATGCAAAGAATTATCAAATTTTAGATGATAGCATCATATTGCAATATTTAAAACTAAATTTCCTTGAAACTTTTTTTGGAGAAAAAAAGAAGAAAACTGAACACGCAGGTCTGGAAACCTAGCTGATAACCAGTGTCAGTTTTAAATCATTAAAAACTGGGAGGAATGATTACAAATACAGAATTTTAAAGGGGCCTCTGGTTTACCATCACCTTATTTTCCAGGCTCTTATTTACCAGTCCTGACGGAGATCATAAAAGATCAACAAGTTGAATATTCTAATGTAAACACTCTCATAGTAAATTATAAAATGACTATTCATGACACTTTGCACTTCAACTGGGTTCTGTCTGGCAAATGTATTTTAAAAAATACAGGAGCTGAGCTTTCCAGGCTTTGAAGAATGCTCAGTGTTACCTCCAGTTTGCAGTCAGGAGAACTGAGGCACTGATGTGTAGCTTGATCAAGGTCATAGAAAATGCTGGTGAGAGTCAGCTACAGGACCAGACCCATCTAAGTAACCAGCTTAAATATCAGAGCAACTTTACTCTTAATGTAGTATTTGATTGTGGTATTCATAATTTACAGAAGCAGTATAAAAACAAAGCACAGCAATAATAAGTAGAAGTACACGTAGGTGAATGGCTTTGATGAAAACAGTATGAACATTATCTTTGAAAGAAAATCATGAATAAAGTTTCAATTATTCATTCTGGTTAAAGAAGACTAATCGATTCAGTCCACATGGCGATAGAAGAACAAGAGCAAATAATTTTAAAGCTGAAACCCAGGCTCTTCATACAAAGCAAATAAAGAAGAGGAGAGAGAACAGGGGGGCTCACTCACTGGTACTTTTCAAGCAGTATGTGAAAACAATCAGAAGAACATTTTTGCTAACAACTACATAAAGACCAACCACTAAGGTACATAAATAATTGTCTAATTTTTTTAAGACTTTACTATCAACCAGCTTTCAAACATCAAAAATCTGTAAACAGTAACACACAGATGATGATCTATATTTATGATGTATTTTCAAACTCTGAAACAATCACTACATGAGAAAATACTTAAAACCAAAAAGAACAAAAAAAACCAAACAAACCTACACAAACGGCATCTGAAAGCATCAAACAAAAATGGAAAATAGCCAGAGGGAAGAAAAAAGAAAGGAAAATCCCATCCTGACAGACTGTACTATAACTGCTTTTTGCAGAATCAATCTGTTTTGGAGGCTGCTTGATTCTCGCAGCTAGAAATTGCTTAATGAGCCATTAGGAGCAGAGGATTTGCCACATCAGGGAAGCCCATTTATTCAACTAGTTTAGTACTCTGACTACACCTGAGGCTTTGGAGGAAGATGAAAAGAACACTCAGGGCATTCTGCTGCAGCCGGGGCTGCAAACAGGCTACCCAGGGAAAACCCCATCTGTCTCATGAAGAAAAATGAAGGAAAAAATAAAAGAAAAAAAGAGAGGAAAAGAATAAAGTTTTTCACTGCAGGATACAATTCTTTGATACAACATAAATACCTCCTAAGCTGAGAAATGCTACCCTAGATCCCAGAGCAAGGATATTTCTTCCCAGGACAGCTGCTGAGCTGCGATTGCCCAGGGGAGTTGCCACCAAGCTTTTGCCTCAAGACTGCATTTCTCAGTTGTGTTTCAACAGTCCTGGTCTAAGCATCTTATAAGGAGCCTATCCAGCAAGAGAAAAGTGCTTTCTGATTCCCATAAGCAATCTGCACATGATCCAAATATATAGTTTACTTAGTTTTAGAATCTTAGCTAACACTTAGCCAGCGTTATAAAATTCTGAAATGGTCATTAAGCTACCCAGCCAGAGCATTTGGTTTGACGGCTTCCTGTGTTCGTGAACAGGTTTGTCAAAGGTCCTGAACAGCACTTCCTTTCAGCAAAACTGATGTATTACCATTTCACATCGAGGTCACTCGTGCTCAATTGCATCATAAAATGGAGCATCTGGACAGGCTTCAGTGTATTCTTTACGATACCAACTGACAGATCTCTAACTTCCCCTTCTCAGGGGAAATCGCCTTGAGGTTTTTGGTGCTACTTGTGTACGTAAGCATTGCTGTCCTTTTAATGTGTTCTGATCTTTTGTAAGTTATAGTCCTTCAAAGGCTGTAAGATAAAAGTTGGCTTTTAAATTAAAAAAGCCATATAATCTAAATGCATTTCCCTTTGTGGCTTATATGTCTCAGTTCGATCGTACCAGAAGGTCTTTAGAAGCTTCTGACCCCACAGTCTATAAGGAATATGTACAAGCACACATATACCATCCCAACTCTCCCAGACACTGCTTTTCAGGTCTTCACTGCTTTTACTTCTATTTTTGGTAACTATCCTACATAAAATTTGGCAATAAAAAAAAATAATCCATCATTAATATTGAAGAAAAAGTTTAATTGGGGGAAAAGCACAGACAAGCAAGCACAATTAAAATGAAAGTCCCAAGATCCGTGGTGTAGGAAGCCAAATTTACCCAAACCATATAGACAAACCATCTGTCAAAATCTGACAGTGCTTGACAGAAGACATAGGCTACAAAGGATTTAAATGTGACTAACATTGCTTTGTCTCCGGAAGACAAAAAGGAAGTTATTTATACTTCTTGTATGTAAAGACTTTGCTAAGTCTCTAAGTAAAAAAAAGCACTTGTTTTTCAACTACATTATTTCTGTTATCACTTCTGCCTCTGAGATAATTTATAACATATAGTATGCACAAATCTTCTGAAGAGTTCCTGGATGGAGTTTGCCTTATATGCTTACAGCTTTGGAAAGAAGAGACAAATTTTATTGTTGATAACTGTTCGCATACACTTTATCTTATCGATTCAGAGACAAAATGTGATATGGTTAGAACACCCACTGCATGGACAGGCACTCAATATTTACACTCCAGGACCTATACTGGTCCTTGGCAGACTCCCCAGACGGTATAGATTTCAGAGTCTCATCTAAGTGACCCCCAAGCTCTCAGAGAAAATCTGCAAAAAACTGCAGGTGCAATACAGGCAGTAAGATACTGTGGCAGTATACTAGTGGCAGGCAAATCTTTGTAATGCTATTCAGGAGGTGAACAGGGAGATCATTTCCACTGGAATGGGCAAGAGTGATGCTTGGTTCCCAGTATGAAAAAAATCAGGACCTAAACTCATTGGGAGCCCCTGCGCCAAGGGAATCCCAGTTTTCTGGAACAGAAGACATCTCTGAGGAAGATACAACAGTATCCTTTAGCTTTAGAGCATTTGTGGGAGCTATCATTGATCTCTTTGGTGAGTCTGGGCTTTCTAGGTTGCATAAAGATACTGAAAAGTACAAAGGTATCCCTGTTGTTCAGAAGACCTCAGATAAAAAGTTAGCACTCACCTAATGCATTAGTGAGTAGTCACAACTGCTCTGAATGCACTAAGTACCGGCTTTTAGTTTACTCTTCCCTGGAAACAAATGTTTTCATTTGGTTCAAATAGTTTTGGGAGTTTGAGGATGCCCATTCTTCTCAGCCTAATGTCACAAAGCCCAAGTCTGTTTGGGCTGGAGTGATGATTTTTAGTCTCTGCATAATCTGAAATAAAAGTCGATTAAAATTGTTACTTAGTTCGTAGACTTTCATGTAATCCCTCTGGAACTCATTGCTTTCTTAATATCATTGCTGATGGGACTCCATCTGCATTTGTCAGGGCCGAGAGATCTGTTCTGCCATGATTCTTCAACAGTCTTAGTTGGATGACACTGACGCAATCTGGGTAGATTCTGACCCACTATTTCCTACCAACAATATTTCAAAAAAAAACCCTCCCAATAACAAAATAAAAACCACCCACGCCTTGTAAAACAAAAGAACTAATGAGCTATATCAGCCTAAGGCCAAAGGATCTACTATGTACACCTAGCACATGTGGTTTAACACAGGGGATGAGTCCTATTTGTTGTGTCTCTATAAGTACAGAGATGGTCAGGTATTTTCCAGGGAAAAATGGAAACATGAACTTAGGTTAAACAAGAAGTTGGAGGCTTTGTCAGCTACAGAGGTTTGATGAAACTTTTACCTGGAAGGGTTTGAAAATAACCCAGCTGCTCCTCCTGGACATCAGAGGTTCAGACCAAGGTCTCTGCTCTGTCTGATTCAGACCAAAAATACTAACTTCGGTCCCTCATACCACCAGGGACTATCTTAGCCACGAGGCTACTGGCTGTTTCACACGGCTCCCTCTGTGTTCTGTTTTCTATAAATTATACTCACTGTCCCAGAGAAGCAGATTGCAATCAAGTCCCACCACACGACTTCACCTTTCCTGACCCTAAGAAATGCCTTAAAACGAGACATACAGTCTTCAGTTTGCTTGACACATGAATGCAGTGCCATAGCACTGGTGGCATGGGAATGTCGGCCAACACCAATGCCGGTCCCACCACGCAGTGCGTAAGGCCAGGAAGGGTCACCAGGACCCCGGCACAGCAGTGCCTCTGAGTCATGCTGTGCTGGTGTAAAAGTAAGCCCCACCTGTCAAAAGTATGCACACACACCTCTTCCTGATCCTCCACCTGTCCTGGCCTCTCGAACTAGTCACTGTCTCAGCTCCGCTGCCGGCACTGCACTGACTCTTCTCCGTCTGTCGGCTCATTACGGGGAAGTGCTGATGGGCAAAGGGACTGCTGAACTGCTGAACTGAGACCAAGTGCCCAAGGAAGCTCCTTGCCTGGAAAGGAGGAAACCTCAGACTGTGTCATCTGCAAAGGCTTTCACTTACTGCCTGGCCAGTCCAGGCTCAGGGATGGTGAGGAAAACGTGCGTGCTGATTTTAATTTGCCTTCTGTAAATTAAGATTGGGCATAAAAAACATAGAGTAGCGAAGAACTCCAGCCCTGAAATTTTAACTGAGGACAAACATAAACACTGCTGCTTCTCTGAGCCTAATTGCAGAACATCTTCTGTACGTAAAAACTGTAAAACATGATGCTTTTTGCCCATTTATAGAGCTTGGGTTATAAAGGACAATACTTCTTGCACCAGCTGCAGCACTGTGAATATTCAAGCCAGTTTTTAAGAGTTAGTTGCAGAACATTTCAGTGAACATGAAAGCACAATGTCTCTTTAAAGCGTATCATTAATGCAGAGTTAATTAAGGTCTTTCCAATGAACAATGATAACTTAGAGAGATAGAAATAACTGCCTTTTCTAGAAGATATTTTATATTTTCTTACATTTAACACTTGCAATATTTGTGTGTAATACTTTGAGTCCTGCTAGAGATCAGGACAAGTCTGAAGAGAGAACATCGCTTCAGGTACACATAAATGACTTGAGCAACTTCTTCATGAACAACTGAACTTTCTGCAAAGCAGCATAAGGATTTCATCACGTGGAGCCTCCAGGGTGGGCTCCCCTTGGTGCTCAGGGATCTCTTGTCTTTTGGCCCAAATGAGGCAAACACACACAAAAAAATATCAAATAACAGAATCATTATCAGAAGATTAAATGAAGAGACGAAATGACAAAAGTTATCAAACATGAGTCATAGTAGTTGACAAGCCTGATCAGAAGAGAGTTTCTTGACTCAAAGAGAAGGGTTTTGTGGATTGGGGGTTCTAGTGAGTCAAGGCATACCTCCTCCTTAGTGCCCCTACAGTGAGGCCCAAGAAGCTCCTACTGAAGGCAGTTCCACCCTCAGATGAGTGCTCTTGGTACTGCTTTGGAAAGATTACAAAATGCATAAAGTATAGCAGAAAGCTAATAGCTAGTCAGCGAGGGAGGGGCGGGGGCAGCTTTTGTGTAAACTTTAAAAGGATGATCAACACATCATCTATAAAAATATCAGACCAAACTCTGCTTTCATTTACTGTGTGCAACTCCAGTGATTTATATGGATTGACACTTGTAACCACAAATATAACTTGAACATGTATTATATATTCCATTTCAACTGCAATAAAAGAAATTATTCTTTACAGTAAAAAAGCACAAAAGGTAGGTTTCCCTCTCTATTTACTTGTTTTGACACTTTCTGAAATCTTCTTTCAATATATTTTTGTTGACTAGATGTATTAACCGATATATGTTTTGATACAGATGAACAAGAGAGAATCTGACATCAAATCCATCTCAGATCAGCTACACAGACCGTGAGATGAGATTCCTGACACATCCGTTGCCTGGATTGAACATGTTAACTGTGAAAAATGTTTGCTACCAGTTGAAAGTACAGATGACTCTTCTAAACTTTTAGAATTATATCCTGCAGTCACAAGTATATTTTGAAGAGGCAGAACAGAGCAGAAGCTAAATTATCAAGTAAACAAACTACACTCCAGTGGCCAAACGTTTTATGAAGGAAATTCCCTGATTTGAAATATTCGTAAGAAAGGAACCTTCAGTTATGCATACCTACAGAAAAAAAAAAAAAACTCTTAAGAAACAAAGCCCATTTTATATACAAATACTATGACAGAATTAAAAAACAATAGTTTTAACTATTATCTTAAAACATGAGATGTTTTAGGACACACATATAAATAAGCCAGATAATTGCCCCATTCCAAAAAATCATTCTTTATCTTAGCTTGCAAGAATATCTGAACACCTAAACGTTTCCCAAAGTCTTTCAACAGATCTCAGCTTTTCAACTTTATTCTCTAATCTTGTCAGAAGTCTTGATTTCAAGAATTTGTACCATCTAAATGCAGAACTGACACTTTTCTACCTTTAAGCCATTTCTAAAACAGAATGCCTTTGTGCTTCTGCCCTAACACTCCAGTTATTCTCATTTTCAGCTCCCCTTCCAAGTACCTTCTTCCTTTTCACATTTGCCAATGTTTTTCACTTCAGTTCCTTAGAAGGTCCTTCTGCTTTCCTCTCAGCCAGGAATTACTCTTTCCTTGTCCACTTGGAAGTTTCATAGAAAGTTGCATCTTTCCATTCATCTATCTCAATATGAGAAAGAAAAAGGTTTCTCCCTTCCTAGCAAAACCTGAACTTGGTCTACAATCTCTACAATCATCCTGTGTCATAGTAGAGACTGGACCTGAATCTTACTCTCCTTTGAAGTCCCAGAAAATCCAGAAGAATCACTAACTACATGATTCTTAACACAAAGAGCAAACCTTCAAATTGCAAGATACGATACAAATGTCCTGGAATAGTTTTGGTGGAGTAGTGTGAGCACCCTACTGAGAGCATCGTTAAAAAAAAAAATAGTTCCTAAATAACATCAAATGCTGACCTGGAAAATAAATGCCTAATCCAACCAAAACAACATGCTGACTACTCACCAAATGTCAGATTTTGTATTATATCCCTGGTGCTTCAGTGCTTCTGGACTCATGTAGTACGGTGTCCCAGTAAATGTAGTTGCGAGATCGCATGAACCCATCAAAAGACAAGAAACTCCAAAGTCCCCTAAAAGTAACAGCAGAAACAACAATCTATTCATATAAACATATATCCACTCGTATAAACTCTTTATGTTTATTGTTAGACATGACACAATGACTAAGTCAAAAAAAAAAAGACAATATTTTAAAATATGGAAAAAACAATTTCTGTAATTCTTCAAAATAAAACCACCACTAAATCATAGAATTACAGAAGGATGTAGGTTTGAAGAGGCCTCACAAGGTCATCTGGTTCAAACCCCTGGCTCAAAGCAAGGCCAACTTCAAAGTTACATGAGGCTGCTCAGGTCCAGGTCCAGCCAAGCCTGGAGCCCCCTCAAGGCTGGAGATTTCACTGCCTCTCTGGGCCCCTGTTCCTGTGTCTGACTGGTAAATAAATGTTTGATCACAAATGAAAATGCTGTATCAGACATGACTTTATTTAAATCCCCTTATTGACAAAATGTCTGCTAGACAGTTTTTCACACTAAAATATACAATTAAAAAGTATGGAAATCTCACCAATTTTAAGAAGATTATTTTTCAAAAATATATTCTTGGCTTTCAAATCTCTGTGAAGTATCCACCTGGAATATAAAAGGAAATTCACCCTCATCCAACTTGAAGCATTCCCAGTCATGTATCAACTATCTCAAGTATTTAACTTCATTCCATGCCACGAAGGCCAGCCCACCGCTGCCATAGTCTAACCTTGTAAGTGACAATGCACAGACGATGGCATTAAGGAGCCTCATATAAACACAGAGGTGCATTCACAGACACTCACACACAGGATGAGAGCCTAACCCACCAGGATAATAAAAATGCACCCAGGAATCCCGGCTTGAGAATACAGATACAGGCTTAACATAAGCTGCAGAGGAAGGGAGATAGGCAAGTCTTCCTATCTGACACTTCTTAAAAGCATTACATCTTATTTTCTGCCAGGAGAATGAGATGTCTCAGAACAGAATAAGGGATGAGAAAAACAGCAATAAGATTCTCAAAGCTCAGGGAACTCTCCTTCAGAGAAAATGTGTTACTTGAAAGACGAATATGTATATAGACTAGGCTAGTAGTTCAAATTTTTACAGCAATGGTGTGGAAGATAAAAGAACTTTACAAAGACAGAGATCAAAAGGAAAAGGAAAAAGAACAACTAGCTCTTACAGACTTATTTTTCCATCAAAGACTGAAACAACATCATAAGCTACACACCATGTGGGGATAAACAGCATCTTCTCAATTTCTTGAAATCTTAATGTGTGACAGTAATTCTCCAGTCCCTTAAGAAAATAACACATCTCTACAGTACGCAAAACACACTCTCAATTAATTTTTGTTAATAACGCTTCCAAAAATGTTCCCTACAACCTCAACCAAACTAGAACTCATTCACTTTTAAATAGCTTGATAACACACGGCATTAGTTATCAGCTCCACTCAGGAGGAGGTTAGAATAGCACTTGGTACATACTGGGTACAGAAACTGTATTTGCTAATACAAATATAGCAGTCATTCAGCCACTTAGTTCTAAGAAAGAAAGCCACTGACATGCTTTAAGAGTCTTGAGATGTGGGCAGGAAAAACGAATATAATAATCGACTTTAATTGTTCTTGAGTGATCCTCAAATATTATCTCAAAAATTTATTGAATTATTAAAGTCTTATGCATTGAAATATTGAAATGATTTACAAAATAGTTTCCTATTCTTAAAAATATTAAGACTAGAAAATACGTATTCTACAGCACAATTTAAATAAGTAATTTAGTCCACAACTAATTTGAAAATAATTTTTGCAATAAGAGAAAAAACAATTATTAAATTTAATATACTCAGTTCTCAAATGGGGAAAAAAAATGTGAAAAGTAACTACTAGAAGACATCGTAGTATGCACATAGGCTGAGTATGAAAAGGAAACATTTCTAATTTTATGGGACATAAAGAAAAGAGTTTATGCTTCTCATGGCAATCTTTCCAGTTTTGTCCTGAAAGTAATGCCTGTAGAGAAAGGTTTGCACATGTCGTGAAATGGAAGTTTCATTCAGTGTGCCTCCACTGATGTTTATAAATAATTCATTCCCTATTTGGCAACTTTCTTGAGCAATACATGTACACTCATCATACATTACATCAGTAAGGAAATTAAGCTAAGGTGATATTCATTACTATTTCATAAGAATATATATACACGTAGTTTTATATAAATCTTGCTCTGTTAATTTAGACTCAAAGTCATCACACAGAGTCTTTGAAAGAACTTGACTTCACTGAATTAGATTTTTCTTACATATTACTGTTGAACATTGGTGGGGTTTAACTTTTTTTTTTTATTGTTATTACTTTGTAGAAATATAACCACGGACTCTTTAAACCTAAAAGTCTCTTGGATATCTGTGATTTGAATAACAGGTATCTCGAAGTATAAAAACCATCCCAAAAGCTTTCAGTAGCATATTATTTGAAAAGGTGATGAAGAGAAGATGTTTGGGTTACCTTAGTTTGAATTAGAATGTAATGCTAATATAAGCTTGCAAAATATTGATGAAAATACTATGCACATTATTTTCATCACTAATAACTATCAGATGCTTTTATATATTAATATGACTAAGAAATACTTGGGCGATTCTTTGGAATTTCCCGTGACAATGTCTCCTGATGCAAGCCACCTTATTCTGCCAGGATATGTCAGAAGATAAACACGTTACAAGATGAAACCTTAACTGAAACAACTACTTTAATTCTAGTAAAATAAACATTGAG